AAGCCATCCACAGCAACCGGACAGTGCCTAGCACATACCCACAGCAGCTGTTTCTAGGGCTGGTTGGGGTCCCCTAAGGGCTCCAGGACACAGGCAGAGCACCAGAGAGGATTAGGTTGGGGAAGGGCCGAGTGCTCTGGCCCAGGTCAGGGCATTTGTGCCTAGCAGGCCCAGTGACCCCAGGGAACCTGCTGGATTCTGTCCCCTGTCACAGTGCTTCTTAGAGGGACTCCCCCTTCTGCTCCCCTTTCAGAGTCCTCCCCCAGCACCAGGACTCAGCCTGAGGCCCCCACCCTACATACCAGAGATTACTTTGAGTCAGGGACTGGCCTCTGTAGCTCTCCCAGGGCCAAGGGAGTGCTGGGCGCACAGTGGGCCCACAGTGAAATTGTATGCAGCCACAGGCCCAGCTGGGATGCCACCCCTTCTCCACTGCTGTGCTTCCTGGATTCGGTGGGCCCCTGCCAATGCTCGCTGGATATGGAGGACTCAGCTGTATTTCCTCCCAGTGTTTCCTCAACACCAGCACGTGTGACAGGCCTGTACCACAAACATGATGAATGAATGAATGAATGAATGAATGAATGAATGAATGCATGCTTTCTGGAGTCATGGCTGAGCTCAGAGTCTGTCAGTTTCCCTACGATAAAACATCAAGTTCCTTAGGTGTCCGATTCCCTCCCATTTGTACTCTGTCGGCTGTGCCTACAGGGCTGATGTCCACAGGGCTGGAGGGGCGAGAATGGCCTTAAAGTGGAGGAGCAGCCTTGCCCCACCCCCACTGTCCCCAAAGCACATGAAAGCGCAGCAGACTGAGGGTGTGGATGTGGAAGCCCACTCCCAGGCTCCAGCTTCCTGGCCTGTGTCTGTTGTTTGTTCCCTCAAATCTGTGAGCTAGAGCAGCCCTGGATGGAGTTCCGTTCACCAGATGAGGAAACTAAGGACGGGGTATGGGGCTTGTTCAAAGAGGACCTTTCAAAACAGAAGGAACACCCAATGGAGAGTTTTCCAGGCCATTTGACTCATTGGAGAGTTCTGTTGGAAGAGCCAGGGCCCCAGCAGGTGTTCAAAGGGGGGTGATTAGGCAGGGGAGGCTGGGCGGGGCCTCCCTAGGAGTCCACTGCTCCTCACACGCCTGCCTGCCCTAGGGCACCGCCCTGAAGCAGCAGGTGTTTGACTTCCTGTGCTACCAGTGGGTGTCCATCCTGGCCACTTTCATCCACATCGTCATGGTCATCCTGGGGCTCTTTGGCACAATCCAGTAGCGTCCTTGCTCGTCCCCTCCCAGATGACCAGTATGGGGCCCTCCAGGAGTATATTGTCCCAGAAACCACCAGAATACATGTAAAGGCCAGGATTTTAGCCACACACAGCCTTCTCTGAGCCCCAGGCTCACACCTTTCCACAGCCTGGAATCCTGACCTGGACACAGACACAGAGCCAGGACTGGTCCCTGGCGTGCCTTGGCCCAGGTCCCTGTACGCTGCCCCCTGCCCTGGACTAGCTCGTATGATGTTCAGGAGTTTGATCGGTGTAGTATTTTCAAGTGCAGATCAAAATAATTGGTCTAGACCTGGGTTTGTGGCAAACTTTTCCTGCAAAGCGCCTCATGGCAGGTATTTTGGGACTGTGGGCCACAGTCCTGGCTAGGGCACAAATGCAGCCCTGAGCACAGTGAATATGGGGACGTTTTGTGTCCCAGTAAGACTTTACAACAGCAGGCACCCGTCCTCAGGCCTCCACTCCCAGCAGCCCCATCTCTTGGGTGCCCCTCCGTGGGAGCAGGAGCCCTGTCACCACCAAATGGCTGAGACCTGAGAGCAGAGTCCCTGCCCCCACGGAGGTTTTGGTGGAGTCTCTTCTCCAAGGGCAGTCCAAGGGCAAAAGCAGGGTGGGCCTCCTCCCTCTGAAGAGCTATCCCCCCC